CCGGGTGCGGTGGCTCACGCCTGTAATCCTAGCTCTCTGGGAGGCCAAGGCGGGCGGATTGTTTGAGCTCAGGAGTTCGAGACCAGCCCGAGCAAGAGCGAGACCCCGTCTCTGCTAAAAATAGAAAGAAATTAATCGGACAACTAAAAATACATAGAAAAAATTAGCCGGGCATGGTGGCACATGCCTATAGTCCCAGCTACTCGGGAGGCTGAGGCAGGAGGATTGCTTGAGCCCAGGAGTTTGAGGTTGCTGTGAGCTAGGATGACACCACGGCACTCACTCTAGCCCGGGCAAAAGAGTGAGACTCTGTCTCAACAACAACAACAAAAAAATTTATGGAACATGTCCTAGACTATTCCAGATACATTAAAAAAAGCACACATACCACACTGATTAAGCATGTCATTTTATAACAAGGAGCTGTTAAGCCACACATAAATCCAGAATTATCACAGAATCAGGAATACATACAAATCACAGAAAATGATACTCAAAAATATTAAATACTCTTCAATAATGATACCAAAGCCCTAAACACATTCCTTCTGGGTCTTCGATTTGTTGCATAAATACAGACATGATATCCAAAAGATAAAGAAATACTTTTAGTTTTCATGAGTAAATGAGTTCATTGCACAAAATAGTTGAAAACCAAAATCATGAAGTATATTAAAATTGTATAGTCTCTTCCTTTTATGACTGAACACTTTATATATATATAAGCATGTCAATCTTTACTGATGACAACAATAAATTTGTAACAGAGAATTTACAGAACTAAGATGATCCAAAAAGGTTTCTACTTTTGAGCCATAGCTATAGGTAAAACAAAATATAATAAAAACTTGAGAAAATGGATATGTGAATTCTGCTTTCAAAGAGACAAAACTTCTTCAAATAGAAAAATACCAAAGTGTTATACTCACCAGTATTTTTGTGACCTTTCAGAATATAAAGTGGCACTGGGCTATCCAGGGAGAAAATGCAAATATTGTGGTCATTTCCTCCAGTGGCAATTAGTCCATGAGGATACATATCACTTGAGGGTATGATACATACACAAGAGACAAAATTGGAGTGGCCACTCATACAGTGCATTTCTGTAAAGCCCCTGTTAGGACTGGAAAGACAAGATAAATTAATAGATACACATTTGTACCCTGACTTAGCCTAGAACATAAAATGTCAAGCATTCATTTTTATTTAGTATCTAGGTTGAACATA